AACAAGGGTATAATTGTAGATAGTGATTTTAACACTATAGGGTTACGAATACGTTTGTGTTCCTGACCCTAAAGGGTTCTTTTAAAATAGTGTGCAAAAATTGCGATTCTTATGAACTGCAGCCTTTGTAAGACCTCAAACTCTTCACGGAGAAGTAGCCAACCAGAGGCTTAATATTAAGAAGCCTCTGAAGGGCTCACTCCATTGTACATGCATGCCTGCTTGTGTGCATGTGTCTGCTGGGTGCCACATGCATGAGCAGAATACTGATCTGAGGTCTGGATGCTGGTCGGAGGTCTGACGTATGCAGTGAGGAGGCAGACACGCTCAGGTAGAGCGGGCCTGCCACTTCTGTTAGCTCAGGGGAGCCCCCCTTGGCTGTTTGATCGATTGCCAGGGATTGACAATCAGGGTGGTATTTAATAATTTGTTTATAAAAGTGACAATTTCTAATAGGAAACTTGTATAAACTGTCATTATTATGGGAAACTCTTCACCCATTATGCTGAAGTTCATTATGGTGTCGAGTGGTCATTTAATGGAACTCTACACACATCACCATACCACAACACTACACACCATGACCACTACTACATTTCTATATTTCTAAGTGCCTTTTTTTCCCCACTTATTGTTGTTGGACATGAATAGCAGTAGAAATATTTAACATTTTCACTCTAACAATGGAACTCACACATATGAGATTCAAGATTTTATCGCATGCCAATCTAAAAATGTAATTTATTTATTGATATGTCCGTACAATGTGCAGCACATGGGACCTGCTCTCTATCAGAAGATTAGAGAACACATGTAAAATATTAAGAGCGGCTTCTGAAATCACAGCGTGTCAGATAATCATTTTTTTTACTTGCCATAATGATGATCTGATGATCCAAGGGGACTTATATTTATAGGTATTCACAAAATTAAGAAAAACTGGAGAGGAGGAGATTTATTTTAAAAGTTATAGGACACGAGGAGATGAAATGGAATTTTAAACTGAATATCCTTATACCAGGGGGACTTAATTTGGATTTTGATTTACATAAATTTTTAATAAAAATTTTTATATAATTTTTTTCTTTTTTTTCTGCTACCTTCCATTTCCTCTATTAGAAGTTTAAATTAACAGCTCAGATTTTTAGTTATGTACAGCCCACTGATATTTTTGGATTTATTTATTTTTAGATTTTTTAGGAGAATGTGTGCCACCATTTAGTTTACTAGGTCTACCTTTACACATAGATTTTTCTGGGTTATGGGACTGTTTTTATTCATAATATGTATATATTCTAATGTTTATATTACATTTTTAATTTATATCTTTATATAGAGATACATTTTAAAAATGAAACATTGAAAAGCTGTTTAGGATATTAGACCTTTTATGATTTGAAATTTTTTATGATGAGTTAAAATATAGGATGAGATGATTTTTTTTAGAAAGGCACGATTTGTAATGTAATAAGCAGTTAATTACAATTAATCAATTAATTGATTTTCTATGAAAATGTCATATATTTGTCAATTCTTACATATTCAGTACATTAATGTGGCAAAACAACAGGTGATAAACCGTGAACTGAAAAAAATCACACGAGTATACTCAATCTTAACAGTAGCCCAATAATGTGTAATAAAACAGAAAATTGTTACAATACTTACCGTAATATTCTTTTCCTGGCCAATATCCATGTCAGCATCACTTGTGGGTTAGCTCCTCCCTCTCAGCTGATAGGACAGGAATCTAAATTTTAAATGATGGTATATAAGGAATCCACCTCCCCAGAATAAGCAGTCTCGTAACCAAGTCAGTCTAGAAAAAAGGGAGGATTCGTTGATGCTGACATGGATATTGGCCAGGAAAAGAAAATTGCGGTAAGTATTGTAACAATTTTATGTTTTCCTGGCCAAGCCATGTCAGCATCACCTTTGGGACATCCCAAGCAAAAGTAAAGGGTGGGTGATAAAAATTTAATTATACCATATCAATGCTATGCCAAATTTAATCAAACATTAGTTGTGGAAGTAGGACATTTCTCCCAAATGACGAGGCACATGAGCCTGAAATGTCTAGGTGATAGTGCCTCACAAAAGTGTTGAAAGATGACTAGGCTACAGCCCTACAAACTTCTACCGTAGAAGTATCCGCCAAAGAGGCCGAGACAGCCCTAGGTTGAGAGAGCTTTAACACCGTCCGGCACTAGTTTGTCAGTGACCCTGTAAGCTTTCTGAATTGAAGAAGTAATCCATCTCCTAATAGTAGAAACAGGGGCAGATACACATTTATGGTAACCAAAAAGGTACAATAAAAGTCTGTTTGACTTACTAAATTCTTAAGTACGAGCAAGGTAAATGGGTAAAGACCTAACCCCATCCACAGTATGCCAAAGGGATTCTTCTTCAGAAGAAGGGCTTTCCAAGAAAGAAGGTAGGATAATCTCCTGGTTCAGGTGAAATTAGGAAAGGAACCTTTTGAATGAATATTGGAACCAACCTTAGAACCACCATATCTCCAACAAATTGAGTGAAAGGATGTTCAGTTGAAAGAGCTTGTAATTCTGAAGCTCTTCTGGCTGAGATGATGACAACAAGGAAAACACATTTCAGTGTTAAGACCCCTAAAGATGAAGAATCCATAGACTCAAAGGGTGTGTCTGTCAGACTATACAAATCTGTAGACAAGTCCCATGTTGGGATGACGTTTTTAAACAGATGGTCTAATTCTCATTGCTCCTTTGATAAAACTCCTTTGTTAAAATGTTTAATCGTAGGATAATTGTACTTTAAGAAAACTAAGGCTCTAACCTTCATTCACACCATTTTGAAAAACTTCCAACAAATAAGGAAGAGTAAGAGTTTGAGAAACTTTCCCAAGATCAACATAAGCTTTGACTGCTAGCTTTGAGAATAGTCTCCACTACATAATCTGATAAGCCTCTAGCTTCAGAAAGTTCTCCTCAATCTCTAGGCCTTTACACAGAGTCTTGCAGGATCTTTGTGGAGAACTGGGCTTTGTGATAATCGGTTCCTCTTCTTGGCAGTTCTCAAGAAACTCCTTTTGACAAACTTAACAGCAGTGGAAACCAAGGCCTTCTTGGCCAATGAGGAATAATTGCTATCACCTCTACATTTTCCTTCCATGTCTTTTTGAAAGTTATCTGGATTAATGGAAGGAGAAGGAATACATATCCCAGCCAAAAAATCCATCTCTATGTTAGGGCATCTTGACCTTTAGTCTTGGGTCAAATCTTATGGAATAGAGAAAAAGAAGAACTTGATTGTTTCTATAGTTCACCATTAGATCTATATCTGGTGTTCCCCAAAGATCACATGTCTGCTTGAACGTATCTGAACTTAGCTTCCATTCTCCTGGATGTACATAGTGTCGGTGACATCGTTTAGTTGTCCTGGAAGATATATCGAGCTCCCCAATCTTTCCCGCTGGCATCTGTGTCCATTAATTCCGACTCTATGTCCCCTAATGGGAAGCCTATCCTGATATTTTCTATGTTTATACACTATTGAAGAGACATTATTACTTCTTCTGTGATCCAGATCTTTTGTTTCTATTCTTGATTAAACTGCTCTAAGAAATTTTTTTATTTTATACTCAGGTTCCAGTGTGCCCACCTCACTAAACCGACAGTTGGGGACATTGTTCCCTTTGATGGTTGCAGTTGATATTAGTTGAAGTTATAATACAGCCAAAATCTTCTAAGTCCTGAATGACTGTCCCTGTATCTCTTATCAGTCGTCTTTTTGATTTGTTCACTATCAGCATATCTTCCAGATAATAGAATATTCTGACTCCTTATTCCCATAGGAGAGCATTTAGGCTGATCAGGATCTTTGTGAATGTACTGGGTGAGAAGCTTAGACCAAACGGCATACCTAGGAATTGAAAATTACTTTAAAAAATCTTGAACCTTAGATACTGTCTGTGCGCAGGTGCTACAGGGATGTGATAGTATGCATTTTGAAGATCTGTAGATCTATGGAGGTTAGTCATTCTGTAGGATATATATTTGAGGAATCATAGTCTGAAGACTCTCTGTCTTGAAAGTTGTTTCTTTAATAGCGAGTTCACCTTTTTCAGATCCAACTTCATTCTCAATTTCTCTGATGGCTTTTGGGCAAGAAAAACAGAAGAGTAAATTCCTTGAAATCTTTCTTTGGAAGGAATATAACAATTCACTTCCTGTTGAAGGAGCTTTTCTAGGCATTGTTGCATAGGTTTTTCCTTTTCTCTATAATTGACAGAACCGAAAGATCTGTGATGTGCAAGGACAAGATTCGATTAAATTTTGCAAGGCGGGCTCGTACTTTGAATATTTGGTTCCTGCCACCTGTTGAACAAACGATTTTCTTCTTCCTCTTTTGGGTTTAGGAGGATTGACTCTGTTGTTCCTTCCAGTATGTCACATAGTTACATCATAATAATAATAACAAAGTATTTAACCAGGAAAGGTACATTCAGATTACTCGGGTTTCCAAGTACATCCAGGGGTTGTTATTATTGCCCAATTTAATGGTACTATACATCTACCTTGACGGAATTAAGAGCTGGGTCAACCCTGCCAGGATCTGAGCTGATCTGAGCTGTTGATCAAAAGAAAGGCAACAAACCCCATCTGAAGCGCTTCCAAATTTGCAACAAACTAGGAACAAATTCATTCTTGACTCCAAAATGGCAGTCAGATATCTCCTTGGAACATGGCACTCTAGAATATTCTCTCCTAGGGTATAAGATCTGGAGCCTCAAAAGGAATTTTGAATTTTTAAGGACTACCAATGCTTCTGTGATGAAATCTGAAGTGAAATTCTTCCATTGGCTTCCTCAAAGATGCTGCACTGTCTATTGGTAAAACAGTTATTTTTGCCACTTTGATTATAGTCGCATCCACTTTCAGTGTTGTGTTTTTAAAATAGTAGAATCAATGGCACCCAAAAAATGGATTTTAAGGTAATGGTGAATTCATGATTTGCTTTTTTAGTGGGAGCATCAGGATTTGAACTTGAGACTTTTTGATCTGTAATCACATTCTCTACCACTGTGCTATACCCCCAATTTTCCAGAATTTTTTGTCTGATAATTTGAATGGGAATACTATATGGACTTTCCCTTGGGTTAAAAAATATGTCTCTGGGGTTTTGTCTTCTTCTTCTTTTATCCCCATTCTGATTCTATCAGATCTATAATGGTAGAGTATATAGGGAAAATAATTCTTCTGTGCAGGTCTTCAAGTCCTTAGCTTCTCCACAATCCTCTGGGATTCTTAGAGGGTCTCTAATTAAATAAATTAGTGAATAAACCACTTAACCGTGTAGGTTAGAAGGGTAATCCATGCTCTCTTCATCCTCTGATGAGATACAACCATCTGGGATATGAGTCTCTGACATAGAGCTTGAGGAATCTTCTTGAGGAATGACTTATGCAAGTTGACTCTTTAATCCCAGCAGCCACAGCCTTAGAAATTACCTCAGCCAGGTTTGGGTAAATGGTTTCTGCAGATATTGATGCTCCTTCATCTGCTATGATTTAAAGCAGTATCTGCATTTTCCACTTCAATTGCATCAGATGGGCAGGTATGATATTTCCTGGATTTTCTGTTATCCTTGGAACTTTGTCTCTAAGGCTGTATCAGGCTGCAATATATATACAGATATTTATCGGTAGGATTGTGTGTATACACAGGTATAGCCATTAGTCATTCTTTTATAATATAGATAAAAAGCTCAACTTATACTTCTATATCTGATTCTAGAGGTGGAGGAATAGGAAGCCATAGTCACCAAGAGGTTACTAAACAATTGAACTAATTACAAACATATACCTGCAAAATAAAATGTATTAAAAACCGTTAATATCGAATTATAGTAATTCCCTTACCTTCATTAATAATATTTGGGACAGTTAAAACCATCAGTGGAATTTTGTACCAGGAATGGGGTCTGAACCCATGCAGACTTTTGTACATTGGAACAGGTACCAGGAGTGGGGTTTGAACCCATGTGGGCACAACCCATTGTAAGGAGATCAATAATATTTGAGATGGTTAATACTATCAGTGGCATTTGAGGACACCATTGATAAAGATCAGGGTTACAGCCAACATTAGCAGCAGCAAATTCACCAAACAAACCATCCAGAAGGAATAACTACCTTTAAAAAACCTTTTCAGTGAACTTCCTTAACTTAGTTAGTTTTTCAATTTTCTTACCGTTAAGGACCAGGGCTCTTTTTACATTTCTGCTGTGTTTGTGTTTCCTCTTACTCATTTACTGCACCCACACATATTATATACCGTTGTTCTCGCCATTAAATGGTATTTCTAAAGATACCATTATTTTCACCATATCATATAATTTACTATAATTTTTTTTTAAATATGATGAAAAAAACTTTAAAAAACACACTTTTTCGAACTTTGACCCCCAAGATCTGTTATGCATCTACAGCTGCCAAAAAACACCCATGCTAAATAGGTGTTTTTTGGCCCAGTGTTAACATGTTCTTTGCTTTTTTTGGGAAAGTTATAGGGCTATAAGTACAAGTAGCACTTTGCTATTTCCAAACCATTTTTTTTCAGAATTAAGGCAAGTTACATTGTAACACTTATATTTGTCAGGAATCCCTGAACAACCCTTCACATGTATATATTTTTTTAAAAGACAACCTAAGGTATTAAACTTGGGGTATTTTGAATCTTTTCATGCAACCATGTTACCACCAATCTATGCCAAATGTAAAAAAAATAAAAATAATTGGTGATGCCACAATGCAAGTATGTCTCATCACTTCCGGATGACACATGTGACCCAAAGAACCAGGAAGTAAATCAGCACACCTAATTATACTATTTGGAGACAAACTTCTTATATAAACTTGGACATTCTGAGGAACATCCATATTTCTGAGGAAGCCTAGCTGGTAGAAATGTGTAAAGTGTGACCTTAGAGAAGTTCTTTATAATCTAAATATTGTATTCCTGCATTTTATTTACTTGTAATATTACTTTTAACTACTATATATAAAAATAAAATTCATTGTCTACAACATCATATCCAATTTGTTGCTTTGCTACTGAACAACTATCCTGGTTCCTGCACATCCTCGGGTGGGGATTATACCACCAAGGCTTTACACCACCAGAGCAAGTTTATTGCTCTCCAAAGTGTAAGTAGGATATTTTGCTTTTGTGCACTTTACATATTTTAACATATTGCACTATTAGACCCTCTCTGCTTTATGTTATATGCTGGAGTCATACTGGACACATAAAATTGTGGATCTACATATATCCCAAGACGGGGATTGTACTGCCAAAGTGCTAAATAGCAGAGCTCTCAGTAGCTCATTAAAGTGTGGGTGAGACACCTATATACTTAACTGTCTGTAAAACCATTAAGACATATTACACCATTTTTTGTTGTATTTCTTTACGTAATTTATTACACATTATTGGGTTATTGTTAAGATTGAGTATACCCATGTGATTTTTTTCAGTTCTGTTTGGCGCGGTTTATCACCTGTTTTGCCACATTTCTGTATCTAAAGCAAGGTTTGGGAATCCTTGTAGATTTACTGCTGCCTGTTCACATTATAGCGAGTGCCTACACCTGCCTTTTTTATGTTGAGTACATTGACTCATTCTGCCTCTATACATTTATTCCAATGTTCTTTTACCCTTCTGTTTGCATTAATAATGGAGAAGTATGAGAACTTCTTGGTGTTTTATTTGAATGATCATGACATAAGTTATAATAAATGGGAGATTTGAGGACATCTGTTGCAAAAGAACAATTAGAGATAGCTTTTATAAACTCCCATTCTGGACTGACTATCTGCATCTAAGCTAGCTCTGGGGATGGACTAGTCTGCATAAGAGAGACACCGGCCTGCTACGAGGAGTTGTGGTTCAGCTGAAGTCCCTGGAAATGATTAGAAAAGGCGGTCAGCAATCAGTAGTACCTGCAAAGCCTCTTACTAATTTGTTTATAATTTTAAGTTGGTTGTTTCTTCAATAACAATTTAATGTAAATATTGGCGTTCTGTGACTCCGATCCGGATACTTACACTTTTACACTGTCTATTGGATCCATCGTACACAAGGAGCCTGATCCCTCCCGTGCCTGCAGAGTGAGAGTTGCACTTAGTCCACTCAATATTTGTGAGTGTGATACCAGGTATCTACACTTGAGTGCATTTATTGTATCGAATGGATGTTCCACACTAGAACTGAGATAATGCAGAGTCTAAATTGTCTTAGGTGCTAAATCCGAAGTATACAAAAGCCAAGAAAAGGTGGATCTCCTGCTGTGAGCATTTGTCAATTCCTACAGCCACAGGAAAAGATGTCTTCTTGAGTTGTCCTATGAAGGATCACGCAGTCTTGTATGATAAGGGATTCTGGTTTAGATTGTAAGCTTGTTTGGGCAGGGCCCTCCTTACCTACGGTTTCAGTATGTCAGTCATGTCTTAGAAATAGAATTAGAAGTTAGAATTTAAAGGGACACTATAGTCACAAGAACTACAACTTATTGTATTTGTTAAGGTGAGTATAATCGGTCCCTTCAGGCTTTTTGATGTAAACATTTTTTTTTTTTAGACACAATACAGTGTTTATATTACAGCCTAGGGATACCTCCAGTGTACACTCCTAAGATGGCTGCTAGAGGTACTTCCTGGGGCAGTACTGAACAGTGTGCAACACTGACAGTCAGTGTCTCCACCCTCTGCATGGAGACACTGAACTTTCCCCATACAGATGTATTGGTTCAATGCATCTCTATGAGGAGATGCTGATTGGCCAGGGCTGTGTTTGGCTTGTGCTGGCTCTGCCTCATTCACAGTCTTAGCCAATCCAACACTTTTGATGTCACACAAGCAGGCAGATCAGGAGCAGAGCCAGCAACAGCAGACTCGAATAATGGTACAATTTTGCTATATTTAATGGAGCAAGAGGGGGTCACGGGGGCTAGATAGTGTTTTTAATACCATAGGGACAGGCATACATGTTTCCTGACCCTATAGTGTTCCTTTAATGTTTGCCTTGTCTATCTCTTGTACAGTTCTGCAGTATATGTTGGTGCTATATAAATAATTTTAATTGCTAGATGAAGATTCAAAAGATCAAAATGGGCAACACAAGTAAGATAGCGGTGTTTATGAGGAAAAAGTGGTGGGGAGTACTACGTTCAATTCCTAAGTAGAAGCAAGTGGCCATTTTAGCAAAAAAAAACAACATATGGGTCTCTTTGTTGCTGATCCTCGAATTTCACAGATATACTTTTAACAGATTGAGACTGCTGTAGTCATTAGGTGTGACATCCTATATTCTTGCAACCTCAAGGTTTCTCATCTGTCCAACATGAGCGAGTATTTTCAGATATATTATCTATCTATCTACCTACCTGTGACTCTGACATCAGTGGCTCATATCAGCTCAAAATCCACCGCCACATCATATCTAGTCATCACAGTCTGATATAAAAATGGTAAAAGTTATACAAAAATTCTAAAAGTGATCAAGCGGTTTTAACAGCATGCTCAGTTACTTAGAAACAATCTGATAGATTAGATACATTACAGGGAACAAACTGATATCTAATTCACTTCTGTTTGAACTTTACAGAAAAACTCAAATGCTTTTGAGTACGGGAGATATCATGAACAATATTATCTGATATGTCTTAGAGTGTATTCATACGTGTTTTGCAAAATTGTAATGGCAAAGTTGTTTTGTTTTAAAGGGACACTATAGTCACCTGAACAACTTCAGCTTAATGAGGTTGTTCAGGTGAGAACTATAGCTCCCTGCAGCCTTTCTCATGTAAACACTGTATTTTCTGAGAAAATACAGTGTTTACATTGAAAGCTAAGAACACCTCCAGTTGCAGTCACTCAGAGTGAACCAGAGGGACTTCTGAGTGGATGGAGGCATAATATGCTGTGCACAAGCATCCTGTGATTCAGTATCTCCTCCCACTGCATGCAGACACTGAACATTCCTCATAGAGATTCATTGATTCAATTCATCTCTATGAGGAAATGCTGATTGGCCAG